AACAATAAATTGTATCAAAGACGAAAAAAGTGTTGGTGATCTTATCATCTCTCTCAGACAAAAATCTAAGGCGATTCATGGATTTCCTCTCGCGATTCAGCTATTTGCCTTTGAGGTGATTCCGGATCTTAAGCAGCTTAGACCAAATATTGAAGATCAAAGTGTTTTTACGGAACGTTCCATCCACAATTTGTCAAAGATTCGGCCAATCCACTGACAAGATTATGGATTTAGAAAAATCCGGAAACGTAAGTGTTCTTTAACTTTTGGTTCATATATTTTCTTCAAATTATTACTCAATCCGTTGGCTAGATAATGTAATTTATATTGTGGTATTTCGTAGGTACTTGTGGATTCAATTCTTCATGCTGATGACCCAGCTCCTGAGGATTCTTTTATGTGGAAAGATGACGCTGTTGATTCATGTGTCGTGTACGTAGAAAAACTTCTGAAAGATGGATTAGAATTCGATGATAAGAATTGGCTTGGTGGTGAAGTCTCGTATCCCTCATGTACATTATGTCATGTTGTTCATTTCCATTCCACATATTAGAGCCTAATCGTCTATTTCTTGTCGTTAACAGGGAAAAGAAAGGCAAAAAAACAGAACAAAAAGTACCGACAGTTAAAAAGATAAATCCAAGACTAATAATACGAAAACTCCAAAAATCTAATTGTTCAATCAATTGATACCTATAATAATTTCTATCCTTTTGTCGAATTTGAAGAGCTTAATAGAAGGATGGGAAAGAAGTCTGTCCGGGAAGAGCCCATTAATGAAAGCGATGATGATGATGACTTTGTACAACCATTCAAGAGAACCAAAGGAAAAAAAGACAGTTGGGGATTATCGGGAGAAGCAGAGGACATCAAAGATTGACAATGATGTACGTGGAGAAGAGAATGTTCTACATGGGCACAATTCAAGCTCTCATCAAGCTCCGAGCATTATTGCTGAATTAAGACATGGTTTGTTGCTTCAAAGACAGCACACTGACAATGCTGTTGAGGGATTGAAAAATTTTATTGAGAAAAAGATTAGTGAAGCTCTAACCAATATTATAGACTTATTTGAAGCTCTGTCTCCTATTGTACATCACTCAACCCGTAGGGCAAAGTCAAGGGTTACCAATAGGAATGGTCCTTCTCCCTCTGTACCAACTCATTCCGGACTTAGGTCTTCAACTCAGGCAAAAATTTCAAAGGTATGCTTTTGTACATGATAAATGATATTATATATTCACCAACTCTAAGATTTTTTGTTTTTTTAAGGGAATTAACTCAACTATTTTCTCTTCCAGCGTTACTGTAAGAAAACTCGGCCTTCTACGTCGGACACATACGTACATAAGCCTAATGTCTTTGTTTTGCAACCAATGATGGATGTACAACAACCGGTTGACGATATACATTCGATGGAGGATTCAAATAAACAGCCACCTTCATCCTTTCTTGCCGCCGAGCTTCCTGATCTTCCCATGCTTGATGATGAAACTATACCTTTAAATACCGATGATGTACCTCATACCTCTGTTCTCAATGTACGTACATCTGATGAGGATACGGATAAGTTACTAGTAAAGGAAACAGCAGGAGATGTAACAGATGCATCAAGTAAGGAGGCCCAGGTTGAAGATGCTTATAAGGATATGGACGTAGGTGATGTACGCCTATCCTCTACTTTGAATGTACGTACAGCAGAGGATAAGGAGGCTCAGCTACAAGATGGTTCTCAACCAAGGGTGGATGTACAACCACCTCAGGCTGTTAATGTAAGTACATCAGCAGAGCATAAGGAAAATGATCTACAAGATGGCTCTCCTGGTGATGTACGCACGTCAGCAAAGGGAAAAGAGACTGGTGATGTACGGGTTTCCTCTCCTGTTAATGTACGTACGTCATCACCGGATAAAGAGGCTGAGGTAAAAGAGGGTTATAAATTTATTGACGTTTTTTATGTACGGCATTGCTCTCCTGTTGATGAATCAGTTGAATATGGTTCTAAGGTGCCGGTTGAAGATGGTTTTAAGGTTGACTCTAAAGAAGAGTCTGAAGACAAGTCCCCAACGCGCATTATAGATAATGTATAAGTACTTTATCTTCCCTCATGTCTTTTAGATGAATTACACTCTGATGCTTAGACTATTTACTGTGTTTAAGGTTCTCCAAAATTTGAACTGTGGAGTTCTTGATGGTGGAGAAGCAGTGAAAGATGTTCAGCGCCAAGACAGTAGGAGGAATTTTCTGATAAGGATTAGGATTCCAACAGCAAAGATGCAGGAATATGTTGCCACTATGCAGAAACCGAAACCTGTTCCAGCTGGAAGCTGCCAATACAATCCTTTTTGTGGCATGAATCTTGACCATTTCTCTAAACTTAATGATGTCTTAGGAGTGGAAGAAAGGTACAAAC